CAGCTATTGTATTGAGAACAAAGTAATGAATGAAAAAGAAGACATCTGCGCATTCATGGTATATATTCAAGTGTGCGTTAGGGATGGAGAGGCAATAACACACGAAAAAACAAGTAAAAAAATTCTTCCAAATGATGATAAATGTTACAAAGAAATGAAACAAACACAGTTGCTGCCTAAGGCATCACAATTATTATTTCACTCATATACTTGCTGTAACCATTGCACAAGTCTTTTCTAATAACAGCAGCAGCAATCTAAACATCTTGTCACGGTCACCAGCAGCAATTTCCTCCATGCTGAATCCAAGCAATTTTCAGTTCCTCAATTTCTGTCTTTAACCCTAACAAACTTTGACTTCCATGAGTGTGTGCTGTTCCAAATTGAGAGTTTAGTCTGACACACCCTTGTGTGCCAGATATGAATGCTTGTATGCTACCCAAAGGATACCTACTTAGCATTTCAAACTAATATTTGAGAAAGAATTATAAATCTTCTCTAAACACTAGTAGTTTCCCCATATTATTAAATGACACACCATTCACTCAGCTGCTTAAAAAAGAGTTCATTTAACACATATTTTTCTTTCTTCACAGCCTATAACAACCTCTAGCAAGCCCTTCTGATGATCAAAGTCTTATATTCATCACCTCCATAGATGCAACCTAACTGAGGCTACAAGTACATTTTAATAGCATTTTCACTGCCCCTGCTCTGTGGTTGCACCCTTTCATCTATATCTCACTTAGTAGACAGAGTAATCTTTTAAACTTCATCAGAGCATGCCATTTCCTTTCTCAAAATCTTTCACTAGCTTGTTAGAATAATTAGTGAAAACCACCAGCCTTTATCATAGCCTGTAGGAATCTACTTGACCTGGGCTCTAAGTATATTCTTGACCTTCTCTCAATATCGCTATGCGAAATTACTCACTGACTTTCTCTTTGCAAAACCAATCTGGTTACTTAAGGCATGCTTGCATTTGTTGTCCTATGTACCTGAAGAACTCTTATTTCAGATGTTCTTATAATTCATCTTTACTTCAGCTGCTTCTATCCTTAAATGTAATCCTCAGAGAGACCTTCCTGACCACCCTATCTGAAATACTTTTGCTCTTCCACTGCCATTCCCTGATATTCTTATTTTTTTTTTTTAACATAAACTACCAGTTACTATATTCTGTCTTTATCTTTCTCCTGTCACTACATGTAAGTTTCTAGAAGGGAAACAAATTTAAATACCCCAGCATTTGAACAAGCCCTGTGTGTAAGGCCCACAAGAATATTGCATAATAGATGAGTAAAGAGAGGTGTATGCAGATGGAGAGCATTTGAGCCATGCCTTAAGGAGAAAGTTGAATTTCACAAAGTAGATGAAGTAACAATAATTAAAATCAGCAAGACTTGCATAGGTGGGGATGTTTGTAATGGTCTTTATGTTATTCTATCAGTTTATGTTACCTATAATGATAGCTGTTTCATATTTCCAGAAAAGTTATTTTTTTAGTAAAAGTTTGATACTTACATAGATAATGGATTGGAATGTGACAGACTAAGGCAGAGAATTATTATGAAATTAAAGTAGAAATTATGAGGGTATTTATAAACTAAATGACTTGTCTCTAATCTAC